GCCGCCGCGCGGGGGTGGGTCCGGAGGCGGCTGCGGAGCCGCCCGGGAGCGCGCTGGGCTCGGGGCTGCGTGCGTCCGCGCTGGTGGTGCCAGGCTGTGGTCGTGCTCTCCCGACGGGCCCGGGAGGCGCTGGGCTGGCAGGGCTGCAGGGGAGCGGGTGCAGCCTGCGGGCGGTTCGCGTTTGCAGGGGTGTCTGCAGGGGGAGAGGAGCCCCGTGTGCTGGCCGTTGACTGGTGGGGAGGTTGGCGGGAAGCGTCGTGTGGCTGCCTGAGCTCTGCAGGTGGCCTTTACCGAGCAAGTCCGGTTGCCTGCACGCAGTGAGCGCCCAGGGAGGCGCGGGCAGCGGCCACCTTCCCGCTGGAGGCTTCCCTCTGGGGCTGCACCCCTGCGGTGCGTGCTTGGAGGACCTGCGTCTCTGGGTCTCAGCCGCAGGCGTCGGTTCCCATATTGTTCTTATTTTCCAGGGTGCTTGGGAGGAGCGCTGTGCAGCTCCTTCGAATGGGTGCTCCCCAAGTTCATGAGCAGGGCTGTCTGCTAGGGGTCTTGGCGCTGGCCCTGGGAGGCTGGACTGCAGGGTGTGGTGGGCTCTTTGGTACATGCCCGAGGTCTGTATGGGAAAGGGAGGCTGGCCGTGTGCCTCTGCTGGGTCTGTGCCCTGGGGAGCACTCACTGGGCCCCTTCCCTGTCCCACCTCCCTGCCTGTGACCCACACTTTCCTCCTTGAGTCTCCACTGCAGCAGCACCGGCCCATTCTCTTCCTCCATGCCCCGTGGCCTGCAGGCAGCCTCCTCTTCCTGTCACTGACCACCTGGTCGTCTAAGGGACATCAGACTGTCCAGTTTCCTACTGTCTCCAGAGAGGGTCCCGGGTATAGCTGTGGAATGAGTGAGTGAGCGAGAGGAGAAGCTCAACCAGGTCGTGTGGCCAAACGTAGCCTGCAGTGGACCAAGCCTGTGTCTGCTGTGCCACTCTGGGTGGGCGCCTTTGTCAGGCCCCCTCCCCTGGCAGGGACGTGGCACCAGACGTATCTCCAGTGGAAGCTGCAGCCTTGGGCTTGGGGAACTTTGGGGCTGAGGCCAGCACAGCGTGTTGGGGTGAGTGCCATGGGGTCGCCAGGGGCGGGTTCTGAACCAGGGCCCCCACCTTGGAAAGCACAGGGCTTCTGGGCGAGTCACAGCATCAACATCAGGCGACCACCTTCTCAGCTTTTCCCCCAGAGCTCACATACCTCATGGTCACGCTGGCAGGAACAGCTGCTGTTGGTTAAAAGTTTGTGCCCACAGCGGGAGAGCGACAGTCCCAAGGTGCGGGCAGGGGCTTCTGTACTCCACGTGGCTGTCCTTGTCTCCCAGGACACTTCAGGTCTCCAGCTCTCTCCGTGAGGATGACAGGCGCACACAACTGTGTGTGCAGTGGTCGTCTCTGCCATGGGAACTAGACACCCAAGGCCAACGCCTGCAGCCTCTGCGTTTAGGCCCCATAGCCACACTTCCTGGCTGTCCCACCCTCTGACTTGGTTCCCACGGGTGCTGGGGGCCCATGGCCAGCTCTTATGAAGCTCCAGAGTGGGTTTTGTTTTGTTATTGTGTGGCCTACGTATAGTTTTGAAAACAAATGAGACAGTTGCTAGCAGCAGGGCTTAACGTAGGCACTGCTGCTTTGGGAATTGCTGAGCAGTAGCGGGGCCTGGGTGGGCTGGCACTGGGGCTCCAGCGGTGGAGGGAAGGAGCAGTGGCCCTGTGGGCAGCAGGTGGCAGGAAGGTGGCCCTGTTTCCTGCTGCTGGCAGAGGGACATGACCCTGTGGATGTCCCTGCAGCCACCCCCCCAAGAGTACCCCCACCAGGTCCCCCTCATGGCTGGGGCCCTTCTGAGTTGTCCCCAGCAGTGCTATTGCCAGGCACTGTGGGACATTGGCCTGGGGTCATACAGTTGGCGTTACTGAGAAAAGTCAACAGGGTATTTGGATGTGCGCTCTGCTCCAGGCCCCCAAGTAACCCACATCAGTGAGGACTATGGTGGCCTGGATTCCACAGGGCAGCCTGAGCTGTGTTGACTGACGTGTGGTGAGCTCAGGAGTGCTGTCTGGGGACAAGCATGGGCAGCTGGGTCTCCGGGTCTCCAGGTCCAAGGCTTTGATCACAGCTGCTGCCTTCTGCCTCTAGATCTCAGGGCGAGGCCGGAGGGTGGTTCTCTGCTGGGCGGAGGAGTCCACCCTGAGCCACACGAGGGCCTGCTCTTCCCTCCGGGCTCCTCTGCCCCTTACTGAGCCCTTCACCTTCCCCTCTGGCATGGCAGAGCCCTCTGTCCTGTGTGCCCCATGTTTTATCTGAGTAGCGGGACGTCTTGTCCCTTTATCTGAATAGCAGGACGCTCTCACTTGGTTTAGAATCAAGTTCTGAAAAGAGGCGTATGCTGAACGGTTTTTCTCACACCTCTGTCTGCCCAACCTGTTCATTATCACACCGGTGTTTGGGAATTGTTCTGTGCTGGTATGCCCAGCACCCACGCCCTATAAGTTCCCTTGTGCTGGAAGGGGCAGGCCTACACGTCCAGAAGGTGTGTCCGGCCAGGGAATAACTCCCAGTTGCGGCGAGGCCATGGCCTGTAGTTGGCAACATCACAGTGATAACCCACAAACGCACCTCCACCTAGCAGCAGCTTTGGGGGTATTAGGAGGATGAAATTGGAGTGGCTGACTCCCTGGGCCCGGGAGTGCTACCCTGTGCTCTTGAGGCTTCCAAGCCCCTGGGTCATGGGGGACACTTGGGGTTGTCCCGAGTGAGGGAAGGATTGGTGCACCCTGGGTCCCTCCGTCCTCTCCCCACACACTGGGAGAGCAGAAGGGTGGGGGGGCAGGCCAGGTAGCCACTGGGTTCTAGTGCTGTCCAGCTGGCACCAACCTCACAGCGCCCCCAAGAGGCCTGTGACCCAACTCATACACAGTCATGGGCACCCAGTAGGTTGGCATTTCCCTGCGCACGTGACGCCCATGCTGGGTCTAGCCTGGTCCTGCCTGCCCTTGGCCCCCTGGCACTCCCACATGAGGACTCTCTACACTGCCACCCCAGCTTAATCCTGGGCCCTGGGCACTGCTGACTGGCACAGCTGCCTGTTCATCCACCTTCGTTGGTTCTGTGGTCAGCTTCCCGCCCTACTGGGGCCCTATCCACTTCACTTTGTAAGCTGGTAGCAGTATCAGCCCTCGTCAAACTTCTACAGTAGAGAGAAGAGTCGTCACCAGCCCAAAGCTGATTCCCATAAGGTGGCTCAGGCCCAGCCTAAGTCCACCAATTCTGACACTGCCCATCCCTCCTCCGGCACTGTCGACCTCTGCTGGGTTCTGTGATTCATTGCAGTAGCCACACAGAACTTACAGACTATACCAAAGTTACTAGATTTGTTAGGGAAGTAACAGGTTACGATTTGCATACAGGATCAACTTGGAAGTAGCAGGAACAACTCAGGAGACAGCTTGTTCACCAGGACAGCTTCCAAATAAACTAGCTCTCAGCTTCTGGGTCTGCCACCAGCCCATCCTCATATAAACATTACAGCTCTCTTGGTTCCACGCACATACCTGGAGACACTTCACTTCACCAGCAAGCCTCCTGCCCAGAGGCGTTCGGCCCTCTTGCTCCGTAGACCAGGAAGCTGCATAGACGACCAGGAAGCTGCACTGCAGCACCTCGAGCTGATCCCCTGGTTCTTGCCTCTGGTACCCTCTGGTGCCTCTGTGCTGTCAGTGTTTCAGTCTGTCTCCTGGGTCTGGGAAATTCTCAGTGCTGGGATCCCAGGGCCAAGGGACATGCTCCATTACCAGCTCTTCTTGATATTGATAGGGTCTCCTCCAGCCTCTGTGAGCTTAACCCTTACGAGCCTAGCAGGGTGTCATGGTTTACCAATCCCCTTGGTGTAGGTCATGGTCACTTTATTTGCACAGTAAACTGTCTACTTCCTGCAAGAGTTTTACTTACCTTGTTTGCATAGTAAACCGTCCGGTCACTTACCAAGACTGTGGCCTAGCAGATCATCTTGGCAGAACTACAGACCAGGGCCAGAGAGGCCGTAAGTAGAGCCCACCGCACTGCATCTGTGTCTTCCCTGAGGGGCAGTTCTTGTCCGGTTGCTGCCCGTTTACAGCACACACTCTTCATGGGGGTGGAGCTTGCATACAGTGGAATTCATTTTTTAGACACAGTGCTGTGAGTTTTGTCAACAATCGCAGCAAATTGACAATCATGTCCCTTGGGATCCAAAGCAACCCACCACCCACAGCCCCTTGTAGTCAGCCCCTGACCCCAACATCTCTGCAGACACCCAGTCTGTACTTCATCGCTAGAGTTGTGCTCTCTGCAAAGAGCCAGAAGGGGATTGGCCATACGCTGCCTTACCTCACACTGGGCAGCTCCAGTGTGTGTCCTGTCTGGCTGCACACATAGACCCCATGCCTGCTTTGTGGCCTGTGTGCCCCCCCACCCTTCTGCCTCTTCAGGTTTTACCATCTGCACACCTGACCATGTCCCATCCAGCCACCCAGGCTGTCTGGGGCCTGCCTCATGGATCTGGCCTGGCTGGCATCCATGGCTTGCACCTGGCTTGCTTTGGCCATGTGCCAGCAAACCTCACCCAGACCCAGGCTAGACTCAGCTGCCAGGCAGAAAGTCCCTCCCCAGGCCCCTGCAGCCCCCTGGCCTGTTTGTTTCTTCTTGGCCCAAGCTTCAGGACCTTTCCCATCTCCCATCAGGAAAACCCCAGATTCTCCCCAGGCACCTGCCCCCTGTGCCCTCACAGTCTCCATGGGCCCTCACTCTCTTTGGAGGCCTACACCCTGTGTGCCCCCATCCTCTGTGACCCTTCACTTGCTTTGGGGTCCAACACCCTCTGTTGCCACTACCTTTTGTGGCCCCTCACTCTCTCTGGGGTCCCCTGCCCTCTCACTCCTCCCCGGCAGCCCCAGCCTCACGTGCTCTTCAAAAGCCTGGCTGGGGTCTCCAGCCTTCAGGTTTGCTCTGCCCTCAGCCTGGGAGGTTCTTCCCCAAATGTGCTCTTAACCTCCCTTGCATCTGATGGCCTTCTGACCCCCATTTACCTCTCGTCCTGCCCTGGCCCACAGACTGTCCTGCTACTGCCCCTGTGGGCACAGCCCCACCACCCTTTGCTGTGGTGACCATGCTCAGAAAGGGCCCACACCCACATGTAGCCATGGGGCCAACAGCACTTGGGGTGCTGAATCAGCCTATGACCTCACATGAGTGCCTCTCGGTCCGTGTCACTCTGAGCCTCTATACTCTGTGACCGCGTGCTGCTCTGTGCATAAGAACCCTGTTACGCTACTCCCCCCCGTCCGCTATCTCATCTCTGGGACCTGGCAGATCCTGCACTGCTCATCGGCTCTCGTGGTTTCCTGAGTCATCACATTTGAGAGTGACCACCATGCTGTTGCAACCTTCTGGGCATCTCCATGCAGGTGCTTTCCAGGTCTTGCATGTCTGGACGGCCCCAGCTGCGTGAGTTGACTGAGTTCGTGGTGGGCTGGCAGGATTACCTTTTGCAGGGCCCTTCACGGCCACGTTGCTGGGCCACAATCCAGTGTCATGTCAGCAAGTGCCCTCTGCTTGTGTTGAACACAGTAGTCCCTGATCACTGGTGTCCTACCTCAGCCAGGCGCCCCTGGGATGGTCACTGGCCATACTGTGGTCTTAGCAGTCTGTCCCGCTGATGCTTCTCTTGGGGCTTTTATCGCTGAGTCTCAAACATGGTCTGAGCCGTGGGCAGGCCTGTGCATTTGGATGGGAAGCATTCCGACTTCTCCAGTCTCTGCAACAGTCGAGGTGGCTAGGCTCATCAGTGTATTTGAAGGGACTCTGCCGTCTTGGTGGTCTGCCCATGCATGGGCCCAGCTGCCTGCCATTGGGGAAGGACGTGGGAATCTGCCAGCCAGGTGCAGGTGGAACAGCTGGAGCAGGGAGTGGAGAAAGGGCTGGAGGCATGTGGCTGCCAGGCTTAGGGGCTGGGAGATGGCCTGTGAGTGAGACGGTGAAGGGGTCTTTGGCAGAGTGCCCCCCACCACGTGGGAGGAGAAGTTCAGGCTAACACCTAGCTCTTCCGATGCACACACCCCACTTGGCACCTTCCTGGAGGCCAGACTGTCGCCTCCACCCAGTCCTTCCAGGACCCTTGTGCTCTTACCTGCCTAAGTCAGAGCACAGGGACTGCCCTCGGGACTTCAGGTGGGCTGGGTGCTTCCCCTTGTGGTTAGTGTGGGACCCAAGGGGTGGGAGGTGCTCGTGTAGTGGCGGGGCCAGAGTGGCCTTCGCTGTGCTGTGAAATCAGGAGGGCCTGAGGAGGTGGCAGGGGAGCCAAGACCTGAGTGGGAGGAGCTGCATTCACAGGAACGCCCTGACTCTCAGTGGCTGAGGCCTGAGGGGAGGAAAGGCTGGTCAGACTCTGGGGCGGGAGACTCTGACCTCAGCACCTACTTGTCAAGGAAGCCCAGCTGGCCCAGGTAGTCAGGCTCCACCACCAGCCAGAGGCCCTCAGGAGAGAGGCCTGACAGCTCTTTCTGAAAGGTCTCAGTCTTGAAATCCATCAAGTACATTCTGCTTAGCACACCTGGGGTCACCCAGGGTTGGGGCCTGCTTAGCAGCAGCAAGCAAAAAGCCTGCCTGCTGAGCCAAGTGGCTCTGCCCGTGAGTCCCAGTCAGAGCGAGGGCAGGTGGCGGGCAGCCTGGGGTCCCCGTGTGCAGGCACAGTGCTGGGAACAGTGCTAGAGAGGCCGAGTTCAGATCCTCCTTGGCCCATGACCCTGCGTGAGTCCCTCCCTGTGCCACAGAGCCAAAAGGGAATGTCCTTGTGACCCTTGCCCCCACCACCCTGTCCACCTGACCCACAGCTCCACCATCTCCATCCACGAGACCCCCGTCCATGTGACCCAACACCCCATCCTCGAGACCACACCCCAACATCCCTGTCCACGCCACCCAAGCTTCCACCCCCACCCCCATCCATGTGAGTATCAGGTTGGCAAGGCCTCCTGGTCCCCTGGGGGTGGATAATTGGTCCCGAGCCCAGCATACCCTGTCTCCACAGCACGTGTTGTGCTGGGTGCTGGGTCTGTCCTGTATTCTGCTGCTGGGCAAGGCCCCTGTCTGCCTCATTTCCAGGTAAGTCCTGCCTGGCTATGAGAGCTGGAGGAGGAAGGGAGGGATGCCTGGCTCTGTGTTTGCAGAGACAGGTGCTCACAGAGGGCACCCAGCCCTCCTGGGATGCTGTACAACCCCCCCCCCCCCCAGTGTGGCTGAGCAGGGTGTGGCATTCCCTCGTTCACTCAGGGAGCCTGGGGGGCAGCGGCCACCGTGTGCCAGGAAATCCGTGGTCTCTGAGCTGGTGCGTTCTGTGGCCACCAGGCTGGAGATTCCAGGTAGACTTGGTAGGTCCATCTCCGTGTGCCACCCTCCCCCACCATGTGTGCTGAGCACCTGGGTCTCCATGTGCTGCCCTCCCCCACGTGTGTGCTGGGCACCTGCTGATGAGATCTTTGGGCAGAAGCTGGGGGGAGTACACGAGCTGTGCAGAGAAGGATGAATGAGCTCAGACTGGGAACTGCTCAGCAAAGGCTGGAACCGCAGGCAGGGCAGTGAGAATGGAGGTGGGGAGGAAGGGAATGCGCTGCAAGTTCAGGGGACAGAGGCCGGACTCTGGTCTGTCTCGGGGCTCCCGGCACCCTTCCAGTCAGGGCCAGCCTGAAACTGCTGTGGTGCATGGTGCATGAGGTGGCATGGAGGGTGGCACCTGGTGTGGCAGGTCCCGAGTGGCCTTAGGAGGCTGTGGGTGGGACTGAGCAGGGACATGGGATTCACAGGGCTGAGGAGGGCAGTGGGTGGGACTTGATGCGGACTGGCCCTAGACCAACCTGGCTCTGTCCGTGTGTGTGTGTGTGTGTGTGTGTGTGTGTGTGTGTGTCTGTCTGTCTGTCTGTCTGTCTGAGTGGAAAGGTCCTTGAGAACCACCGTCTGTCTGCACCCGTGTTCGTCTCGTAGCGTCTTTATAGTTTAGTGCCGCACTGTCTCCTGCGGAGGCAGACTTGACAGAGGGAAGGCTCCCCCCAGACCCACTGATCCCTCAGGCCCCACCTAAGTGGCCCCTGGGAGGTCTCCTGGCCACCACTAAGGGGCCTCTTCCCTTTGGCTTCTGTGCCCTGTAGCTGAATCCCGTGTACGTGGTCTTGTTGGCTGGGATTAGTGTGGCTGCCGGCTCCTTGTGGAACTGGAGGGCAGCACCCGGAGCTTGGCAAGCCAGCTTGGCACACAGGGGGTCTCATTGCCGACTCATGGAATGAAAAAGCTGGGAACAGTCCCCCAAGCCTGGAATTGGTCTGATACCCATGGACAGGAGCCCAGATGTCCTTGGGGTCATTTGATGCCTGGGGAGGGGCTGGCCAGCTTCAGCCAGAGGAGGGTGAGTGGAGGACCCACAAACTCTGAAGGGTTCAGAGCAGAGATGGGGTGGGGTATTGGGCCCCTGGGGGTAAAGAAGAGGTTACAGAAACGGAGTGGCCTGTGAGGTCTCCTTGGGTTTGATAGCCCAGGGGAAGTCTCTGGGAATTGCAGTTTGTTCCCTGCTCGGATCCCTGTGGATCTTGGCTGGATCTTGGGCGGGGCCCAGCATCCTCCTGCGTGTCCTTGCCCACCCTTGGGACCCTGGGGTAGGCCTGGAGGTTCACGAGCAGCTGTACCCACTGGAGGAGCTGATAGTTCCTCTCACCTGCAGACTTGGGGGACAGGGCTCTTCAGACATAGATTCCAGGCAGCTCAGAGGGTTACAGTGTTGGTTCTCAGAGGATGGACAGCGTCACCAAGGGTCTGCTGCAGGCGCACGGCTAGCACCTTTCTAAAGCCGTGCACGTGTCTGTTGGGGGTTTTATGCCCCCAGCCCCGTCTGACCTCCCTCTGCTCTCCCCTCCGCCCGCACTGCCCCACAGATAAGCAGAGGCAGCCTCCCCAGCAAAGGCCTTCGAGGAGGAGTGGGAGGTCTGGGACAGCAGCTGCCACTGTACTGGGAAATTCCACCCAGGGCAACACAGGGGTGTAGGCTGCCTGCCTCGCTCCCTGAGGAACCGTGGCCCTGACTGAGATGGGGCATCCCCACGTTGGGGGTGTCAGCCAGGATGCCAGCAGCATGGGATTGGGTTTACGAGTCTACAGTGGCTCCAGAACCTGGGGGTGGTTGTGAGGCCAGCCAGGACTGACTCAGCTCTGCCTGTGGTCAGCTACTGCAGCCATTGGTCAAGCCCTGTCTCAGACCAGGAATTCCAGGGAGGGCTAGTCCTTGCCCCAGCCAGCACTCTGGAGTCTGCCCTGACTCTACTTCATGCTGAGGCTTGTGTGAGGCTCTCCTGGGCTCAGGACCAAAGCGGGACGGAATCCAAGCCCTGGGACACCCATGCCTGCGAGGAGGCAGCAGGAATACTGCATTGCCTCCCAGTAGTGCCCTGGGTGAAGAATTGGGGCCACACTCATTCCTGGATGGGACTCCTTGGGAAACTCGCTCATTTCCCTCTCCCCCATTTCCAAGTTCCGGTGGGCTCTCCTCTCTGTCACTTCCTTCTGACTCACCTGCTTCCTTTTAGCCATCTGTTCCCCCAGCTTTCCTAAGGTGTAAGGCCCCTTCCCCAGAGGTGTGAGAAGCCCACTGAGCTAGGCCAGCCCTCCAGGTAGGTGCTGTCCAACGCAGAGCGTCCAGAGCTGCTCAAGGGAACGTGGCATAGCTCCGTCACAGTGTCACTAGAGGATGCCGGGGGTCTCACAATGGTGTCACTGATGGGCTAACAAGCAGGACCCACATGTTCCTGGCCACGCTGAGGCTCCCACACTAACCAGCTCTGTCCTTTCTCACGCCTGCAGAAGGATATGGCCCTGAAGCCACACGAGCGGAAGGAGAAGTGGGAACGTCGCCTCATCAAGAAGCCCCGGGAGTCGGAAAACTGCCCATCTGTAGAGCCCAGTGAGAACGGGCGGCCCCTGGAGGCAGGCAGCCCCGACCAGGACTTAGAGCCTCCCTGCGACCGGGGCAAGAAGGTTCCACTGCAGCCCACCAAGCAGGTGAGCCCCAGTCTTCCAGCCTGCCCCCTCCTCCCCTGGGCGCACACTCCACCCCCACCTTGGGCACCTGGGCTCTGCTGTGGGTTCTGTGCACACTCCCATGAGCACCTTCTGGGCGGCGCCAGCACCTGGACACCACCCGTCGGCATCTGGGCCTGCCTGGCAGTGAGGGCCATCAGTGTCTGGCTCAGGATCTGAGACCCACAGGGCTGGGGGCCGGAACAGAGTCAGGCTGGGGACTGCCGGTGCACAGAGGGGTGGGGACTTGCCCAGGACCACACACAGTACAGAGGCTGAGCCGGGGCTCAGGTCCAGGCTCCTCTTCCACTGGGTACTGGACAGGCAGACTGCGCGCTGTCCTTGGCTGGTGGGACGGGGAGGTATGGTGTGTGCTTAGCCTGAGCGGGGGCAGGGTGCCGCCTCGGTACAGAGCAGTGATATCAGGGTGATAGGCCGGCCCCGTTTCCCTATTGCGTCTGTCAGGCTCCGCCGAGTCCGGGGTGTCCAGTGTGTCTGTGACAAGATGGGGGACCGGGCATGTGGCCGAGTGCTCCCCTGCTGCACGTACAGGCCCCATCGGCTAACCCTGTCCAGGGCACGGTGTTGCCACGGTGTGAGGGGAGGGGAGCTCACGGTGGCACCTTTAGATGCTCACCCAGAAGTCTGTGGGATCACATGACTTGGGGTTGGTTGCCCAGGTACCAGGAGCAACCAGAAGGGCTCTATTCACCAGACTTGGTGGGTCTTCCCCCAACAGGTGCTGAAAGTGAGGCACGCCTGTTTCCCTGTGGGGCCCCCTCAGTAGGAGGCCGCTCAGAGCCCAGCTTGGTTGGGGGCGTGCGGGGACTGGGAGGTGCTTTCAGGGAAGCTGGCTTCAGAGGCTGCTCCTGCAGAGTGGACGATGCGCAGAGCTGCGGCCGCTGCCCCTGGGATTCACTGGTTTGCGTCTTTCTTTTCTGAGAGGGTTCTCCATGTATCAGGCTCCTCCTTGAACTCTGCTGGGAGTTGGGCTGCTGGTGAGGGGACAGCATGTCTCAGGGGCCTGGGCTGGATGGGAGGGTGTGCGGGCACACCTGCCCAGGTGGACACGTGCTCTTTCTTCCATGCAGGTGTGCTCCCCAGAAGGGGGGCCGCTCCCAGCCAACCCCTGGGACCAGAACGGCCCGGCCCACCGCCAGCAGCAGCTCCAGCCCAGCCAGCCCCAAGGGTCACTCCCAGCCCCGTGTCAGCGCTGCCAGCCCCGTCGGGCACTCCCGGACCCCAGGCAGCCCTGCCAGCCCCAGCGGTCACTCCCGGGTCAGCGCAGCTGGCCCCAGCGGTCACTTCTGGGCCTCAGGCAGCCCTGCCGGCCCCAGCGGTCACTTCTGGGCCCAGGTCAGCCCTACCAGGCCCAGCGGCTACTTCCAGCCCCAGGTCAGCTCTGCCAGCCCCAGCGGTCACTTCCAGCCCAGCCCTGCCGGCCATACTGGGTCCTCCCAGGCCCGAGGCCACGCTGCCGACACCTGCGCTCCCTCCTAGCCCCATGCTACCACTGCCGGCCACTGCGCTCGCTCCTGGCCCCGTGGCACCGCTGCCGGCCGCTGCAGTCCCTCGTGGCCCCGTGCCACCGCTGCCGGCCGCTGCAGTCCCTCATGGGCCCTGGCCACCGCTGCCGGCCACTGCGCTCGTTCCTGGCCCTGCGGCACCACTGCTGGCCCGTGCGATCCTGGGTGGCCCCGTGTCTTCGCCACCAGCCAAGCAGGGCGTCCTCAGGTCAGCGTGGCCGGCCTCTGCGCTCGCTCCTGGCCCACTGCCCACGGTGCCAGCCCCCACGGTCACTCCTTGCCCTGGGCCCACGCCGTCGGCCTCCCGGCTCTCTGCTGGGCCCGTGCTGCTGTCCCCGGCGGGCACTCCTGGCCCCGTGTCACTGCTGCCGGCCCCGCAGATCCCTCCTCGGCCAGCCCAACCATCCCCAGCAGCCATTACTGGGCCTCGGTCAGCCCCAGCAAGTAGGCAAAGTTCCCAAGCAACCTGGCCTGCCCAAACCTTCCCTGCTAGGCCCAGGACGGCCCCGCCCACCTAAACGGCCACTCATGGGCCTGGAACAGCCCTGCTCAGCCAAGCAGCCACTCATGGGCCCAGGACAGCCCTGCCAACGGAAGCGGCCGCTCATGGGCTCAGGACAGCCCTGCCAACCCCTGCGGTCACTTCTGGGCCCAGGACAGCCTCGCAAACCCCGACCGTTACTGCCGATACCAGACCGGCCGTCGCTCCTCGGGCGACCTGCCCGCCGGCCACTCCTAGGGCACCCATGTCAGCCACGGTGGTCACTTTTGGACTTGGGTCAGGCCTATCAGCCCCAGATCTCACTCTTGGCCCTGGGCCATCCCTGCCGGCCCCTGAGGTCACGACGGACCCGATCATCCACTCTAGGGGTGGCCCGCCAGGCCCCACATGTGAGTCCTGGAGCCTGATGCCCAGTGGAACCTCTGCAGACATGCCCTCCAGACATCTCCACGTGTGGCTGCATAGACGCACCCAGGCCTGACTGGACTGCACCAGGTCTCCAGACAGGCCAGGCTGTCTGCTATTGGAGTGGAGCTTCACCCAGCGCACTGGGGGCTGCCTGTGCTAGAAGAGAAGGCAGCCTAGGGGGCTGAGTGCCGCCGTGAGGCCCCTCCACTGGCGCCCTGGCCTCTGGTGTCACAGCTCCCTGTCCCACGCGCCGCCTGTGACACGCATGCCACCGAGGGCTCAAAGCCTAGGGTCCCCAGCTTCTTCCTGTGCCTCTCAGTTGCCAGCACTGTTGTCTCTGAGTCCACTGCACCTTTACAGGTGTACTGCCCAGCACACGTGTGTGTGAGTGTGGTGCGTGGGTGAGTGCGTGTGTGTGCGCGTGCATGTTAGTGGGTATGTCTGTGTGTGATTGTGTGTGCGTGTGCGTGTACGCCTGGCTCCACTCCAGACAGTGGGGTCTTCCGGGGTCTGCCATGGCTTGTCCCTCCACCCTGCTCTGGAGCAGCAAGTGCCCCACCTGTCCCCTACCTTGTCTGGCTGCTGGGCCGCCCTTTTGGGAACTTCATGCTCCAGGCTGTCCCTGGGCCCCAGGACACCCGCTCACCAGAGCACCCACCCTCAGGACGTGGCCCCAGTGGCCCCGACCTTGTCTCAGGGCAGCCCTCCACCCAGTACTTTGGGGAAGGGCTGAGGAGCCTGGGGAGGGCAGTCATGGTGGCTCTGCAGAAGCACCTGTTCCAGACCTGGGTAACAGCCACTGGGCTCAGCACTGTCCACGTAGCCTCATGTCATGGAGGCAGTTCTCCCAAGTCACCCTGTTTACAGGGCAAGGGGACCACAGCCCAGTGCTGCATTGGTTCTTAGGCCCACGTCGCTGTCCCCAGCTCCCAGGCCCCCTGCGCCCACTTCTCTGAGGACTGTGGCCTCCACTTGCAGACCCAGTGGTGGGGAAAGCAGGCAGGTTTACAGGTGTTTGGTGGTCACCCAGGTTCGCCTGCCCGCCTGGAAACACGGGTTTATTTTTCTGATTAAAAGAAATAAAGAGCCCCGTGCTGGTATTTTCCATAACTGTGTCCATGTCTGTGCTTTGGAGAGCCCGTGCGGTGAGTGTGCAATTCATCCCAGCCAGTGGCGTCTGCATTAGACAGAGGTCTTGGTCATTAAATTCCGGCAGGAGGGGAGGAGACAAGCCCTGCAGCCTCTCAGGTGGCTGCCCATGGCTGAGGGTGGTCCTGTCTGGGCTCCAGGCCAGCTGGGGGAAGCAGTGGAAAGCCACAGGCTTGGTCCCTCCAGGGGTTGTCATCAGGGTCAGACCGGTTTGACCCTCAGAGGAGGGGTGCAGGTGTGCTGAGGGGTTGAGGGTAGGGGCGAGATTCAAAGGGTAAGGGCGTGGGGAGGCACCCAGCAAGACAGCAGATACAAAGTACAGGCAGCAGGGCCATACCGAGATGACCCAGGAGGTGGAGCGTGGTGGTCAGTCAGCTGGGGCGGGGCTGTTTGCTCTGGGTGAGCTGAGGGTCCTCGGAGACCGAACAGGAGGGCTGTGACCGGGCCCTAACCCACAACTCGACAAAGCATGGGGGGTCCTGGGGAAGGCCCTCTCAGGGCTGGAGCTAGGTGAGCTGGCAGACTGCGTTTCTCCAGGGGCAGAGGGCCTCCTTGAACTGCAGTGGGCACTACCTGCCCCCGGTCTTGTCGGAAAGCAGGCTCTGACGTCCCGGGTCTGGAGTGGCCGTGCTGCTGTGGGACCCTTAGCAGCAAGGGTCTCGCCAAGCCAGCAGCTGTGCAGTCAGCCCTGCCCCGGGGCCCACGCGTGTGACAGCAGAGCTGCGTCCCACAGGTGCTCGGGCTGGCTTTCAGAAGTGAACCGCCAGCCTTTGTTCTGAGGCACCTCTGAGTGGACTCCAACCTCCAGCCTTTTGGGTAGTGGGTCACACGCTCCCCACGTACCCAGGGACCGCAGTGAGCTGCTCCGAGCAGCTCTGTTCAGTGGGAAGGGACACCAGCCTCTTCTATCATAGGCTGACTCATGGTGACTCCACGCAGTGCGTTGGAATGCTGCGCAGCCCCGCTGCGTCCCCGCAATCGGTCTGTTTTGATTGGACGGCTGTGATCTGTAGGGTTTTTCATTGGCTGGTTTCGGGAAGTGGGTCATCAGGCCTTTCTTCCTGGTCTGTCTGAGTCTGGAAACTGTGCTGAAGTCTGTTCAGCAGTACAGTGCATGAGGTGCCAGGTCTGCTGCGTGGAAGGCAGGACCGCTACCAGTGACCCCTCACTGTCTCTGCTTAGGAGCCACAGAAAGAAGTTTAACCTTCTAGTTACCACTTTGAAAAACGAAACAGGTAATAGTAAACAGGAAGTTGAATTCCATGTGCCCAAAGCAGCACAGTGGGTAAGCCATACAGAAACGATCAATGGGGTAGTCAAGTTGTGTTTGAAAGACAGTTTGTTGCACTTCAGGCCCTGCTCAGATGGCCTTTAGTCACACAGCATAGCTGCTCTTC